CACTAAACCGATATAATATAAAACAAATAAAGTTTACTACATTTTTTACTATTACTTTAGTATTCAACGACGTAATCACTTACGTATCGTCTTCTATATCTATATCGTAGAGTTTATCATATCTGCCTAGTCGCACTGGCCCTAACAATTGAATGATGTATTGGATAATATATTAAATGATATATAAAGAGGATTTCGAACAGAAGTGAAGCAACAACAAAAATTTATTTTTTTTAAATTATTTTAATTAATTGAATTTTTGGCTGACCATACAGCTGTTTCGAGTATTGCCAAATACCCTTCATCAGTGGTCTTGGAAATAATTCTTATATTTAATTATTCGTAAATAATTATTTTTGAGACTGCAAGTACCAGGAATGATATATTGAATCCAAAAAAAAAAAAAAATTATCAAACTTTAAAATATCAAAATATTTTATTTATATTTACTTTTGGAACCACTAAATGGATAATACCCTAAAAGTCAAATAAAAAGATAACTTTGTTTGCGCTTATTGTAGTTATAGATACAGAAAGTTAAATATAAGTTTTAATTATTCTAATTATCTTTTGTAAATAGAAAATATCTCATACCATCTAATTAATATGAAGCGACTGAGGGATCAGATTTCATATAGGATCACAAAAATCGCATATAAAGAAATATAATTTCACGTTTTCAATTGTAAATCGAATTATTCATTATAAACATAACAATTCACAAAAAATACTTCTTAAATATATCCAATTTAATGCTTTTAAAGATAATTATTAAATTATATGCTCAGAAAAGATGTAATAAAATATAAAATTATGTTTAAACTAAAACAAACTCTAATAAAATAAACTATTTTACTTCATAAACACAAAACGCTAAATAAAAAACAGGTCAATAACGAACGCCACTATCCTTCAGTCTCTCAAATTACTAGAGACTAAGCAAAAACTAGATTAGAACAGATATCAATAGGTCAGCCATTTCTGAATTGTAGTTTGCTGTAAAGTGAAAAATAACACTTAAAAAAAAGAAAACCAATACAGTTTTCTTTTGGTAATCTTTAAAATCTATTCAAAAAAATAATTATGAGAAAAAGGAATATATTTTTTATAAACACAGAAATAAATAAAAGTTAAAACTTTAAAACTTTACGAGAACAGTCTTTAAGGAGGCGGTGTAGAACAGGAACCTACTGGCTTATTTCGTGATTATTATTAAGTTGAAAAGTTTGCTAGTTCAGTAGTACCAAATTTTTTAAACTTATGAACTATTTTAAGCTTATTATTTACAAATAACTTCACCTCATTAATTTTGTAATTTTAGAGTAAATTATTTTGTACTCGTAACTTTTTTATTTGAACTTTAAACAGTATTAGACTTAAAGTAATATATAATCTTTCGGTAATGATGTTTGTATTAAAAAGTAACTTACTTTTTCTTAACTTTACTGCATATTTAGGGCAATCTGAAAAATAGTAAAAAAGAGAAATTAAATATTTTTATTACAGAAACAAATCATTAAACATAAATAATAAAATATTTGCCTACATTTATGTATTTCCTTTGCTTTGTAACAGAAATACCGCAATAGAAATATCTATACCTAGAAAATAAATATGAATAAATAAATTGAAAAAATGCAAATTCAAATTCAAATTCAAATTGAAATCTGATCAAAATCTTGCGCCCACCAAAGCGATCACACAAATTATTAAACGACTGACAATACGAGCGGTTAAATTAAATTGCACTTTTCCAAAAATGGTAAAAAATTAAAGATGTAAGTACAACTGGCAACTGCAGTTCGAACTGCAGTGACTTAGATGATGAAAATCTAAGTCAGTGCCTAACTCTAACTACTTTAGGCGCACTTTCAATTTGGGCAAAGAAATTCGAATTTAAATACGATCAAATATTTTGTTTATATCACATTTATTTATCGTAAAAGAGTTTAAGGAATGCTAAGTTTTACAAAATTGCTTTGCGCAAAGCTATCTCGATGCAGAGATCGCATAAAATTATGAGGCCATTGTTTGCCATTTTGGGCAGGAGCTAAGTTGCGCATGCGCAAGCGAACACTCATATGTTCGCTTGCAATACAATGTATGGCTGCTCAGAGATGTATCTACATACGGCTATAGCATACCTGTATCTGCGGATGTGTACTCTTATTATGTTGCAAATTTAACTTTGCGAATTTATTACAGTTTATAATACAAATACACAAATACGAGTAAAAAATGACAGAAAAAAAGACATGAGCACATATCGCCGTCGTTGGGGACGTACCGGTCGTACGACAAAGCGGTAATAATGTGTTGGTTGTGGTTTCAGCTATATATATGCTAGGTTTTTTTTTCTTATTCCTTCTCTAAACAATTTTATTTAATTTTTTTTAATGATGGCGGCGGCATTCTTTTTAATGTGGGTTCTGCTGACACAAGTAGACAGTAAAAAAATCTCAAAAAACTAAAACAGAAAAAATTGAATTAAATTTGATTTCAAACGAATTTGTTTTCCTAATGCGCAATCAAATATGGATATTTTCTTTCACATGTCAGCAGGTAAGTAATAAAGTTCATTTTTAAATAAGCGTAAATTGTCAATTAAAATTAAACTAAAACGAAATGCGTTCTAACTACTAAATTATGTTCTTTCATTTTGGCAATAAATTTTGTATAACTTGATTCTAGCAGATCTAAAAAAACAAACATCATTTTTAAAATATTTGCTGATATAACAAAAGTTTTAAACAATTTGTAAACAAATATTTAACATGTATTATGTTAAACTCGACCTCTTCACAAAGGATAAAGAGTTAATCTCTTAAGAGATTTCTACCTTGAAAAATTGGCAGAGATGGGCACGGTCGGTGATTTACTATCATTTTTGTCATGGGAACTGAATGCATTATCGGATGTAGTTAAAACGATTAGATACATCTCCTAGTATTATCAGAATGAACATGATCCGAATTGCATATACGAAGATGCAGACGAAGGCATTGCTGAACACACCACCAGATGGAACACTGAAAGCACATCACTTGAAACAATAGTCGGTGAAATATACTCTAACTGCTGCTTTACTATCTAAAGAAAACTGAAGACTATAGACCGATTTGTTACGATCATACTCAAACGGAAATGACCGAATAAGATTTCGAAAATGACTAATTTCGAAAATGATGGATGCTGGCTAACAAAAAAAAATTTTTTTAATGCATAACTAACACAGAGACCCTATTTATTCCCGATAAAGTTTCAGGATAAAAACAATTTAGCACACGAAGATTGTTTTTAGTCCGTGCAAACCAGGCATATCACTATATTGACGATTTGCCGAAAGAGTCTTCGAAGAAAAAGTTTTTTTCTGTTCTATGATCCTCAATGATGGTTGGCGACGACCATCACAATCGAAGGAATCACGAACTTATATGAGCTTTATCACATCAGTTACATTATACGATAAACTAATATCGTTGACCTGATACAAGCTTTCTCACGACTTTGACATTAGTTAGCAACTTAACAGGCAGAAGCTTAAATGGCCTACTTATGTTATGAGGGTGGATGACGGTGATCCAGAAAAAAGTGTTAGAAACTGCAATTGAAGGGAAAACACGAAACAGA